TTACACACACACACACGTTGTCTTTGGGTTTTATTGACACACACACACACACGCAAAAGCTGTTTATCTTGATGACACACACACACACCATTTTTGCCCTTGCTTCCCTTGCCTTTGGAGATGTGTCTAGCAAGAAGTTGCTGCTGACACACACACACACTTATCAGCTGATGCTAATGGATACACACACACACACTATTTTAGTCTTCTTAGGGGCTACACACACACACACGTACCATGAAAAAGTTATCTAAACACACACACACACTCAGAGATGAGAAATCTTAGAAAATAATCACGTACCTCAGTGCTGTGGCTTTTTTGGTACACACACACACACTTTTTTGCTTTTTTAAGATTTAACACACACACACACAGAGAAAGAGGTGGGGGAGAAGACACACACACACACGAGAATCTCAAGCGGACTTCCAACACACACACACACTGATGTGGGGCTCGATCTTAAAACACACACACACACACCTGAGCTGAAATCAAGAGTTACACACACACACACTGGGTGGCTGAGTCGTTAAGCGACACACACACACACAGGTCATGGTTCCGGGGTCCTGACACACACACACACATCGGGCTCCCCGCTCGGCGGGACACACACACACACCTCTCCCACTCCCCCTGCTTGTACACACACACACACTGTGTCTCCCTCTATCAAATAAACACACACACACACAAAAAAAAAAAAAAAAAGAGTTACACACACACACACCTGAGCCACCCAGACGCACCTGACACACACACACACTATATGTCATCAAAAGATAGCCACACACACACACACTGCCCATGTTGGTCATGGTTTACTGAGAGTCAGATCAGGCTTTGAGAAATGTTAGTTGACACACACACACACGTCAGCCTTTAGGCTGGGTGCTACACACACACACACGAATGGATTGGTGCCCACCGTCCCATGAGTTTATAGTCTCGTGAGGGAAATCAGATGCGTGACATGACCTTTGAGTATTTAGGTTTCAACTCTGACACACACACACACCTAGGGGCGCCTGGGTGGCTCAACACACACACACACTGCCTTCGGCTTGGGTCATGATACACACACACACACGATCGAGCCCCACGTCTGGCTCACACACACACACACAGCCTGCTTCTCCCTCTCCCTCACACACACACACACTCTACTTGTGCTCTCTCTCTCTACACACACACACACAATAAAATCTTAAGAAAAAGAAAGACGTTCACCTGTAACCAAGGAGGGCTAGGCCTAGACACACACACACACTTTACTTTGTTTAAAAACACTAACACACACACACACATTTCAGATAAGTGAGATAACCAACTTGTAAATAGAGGCCTCTGCTTTTCTTTTTCAAACACACACACACACCAGTTCACTTTGGAATGTCTAAACTTTCCTTCTTGATCTGCTGAGGTATCACGTAGTTTACTAGACTTACGACTGCAGTTCATTCTGCAGTGGGCATCGGAAACTTAAATCAAAGTCTGTAATCCTGATGACACACACACACACAAAATGCGCTGTCCTATCTGCAACACACACACACACAGAAGTGTAAACGGGCCGCGCGACACACACACACACGCAGATGGTGCATTTTTCCATAACACACACACACACTGCTCCTTCTTATTTCGTAGTTTTTACTCTTCTGAACCAAGAGTGCACTTAGCCGATAACACACACACACACTCCGGAAGACATGGCAATGTGTACACACACACACACCTCGCAGACGTTACCTGCTGCTACACACACACACACCAAGATAAGGTGGGCCATGCATACACACACACACACTCACTGCACTGCATGGATGACAACACACACACACACCAGGTGACCTCTGGGGGAACAGACACACACACACACGCCTGCAAAGCTTACCGGGACCACACACACACACACGGGATCAAAACTCCAGAAATGTACACACACACACACTTTGGATTTAACTGTTTGGAGTACTGCGGTTGGAAACAACCTGACCATCTGTCTTCTAACACACACACACACTCCTGTGGCGGTTCAGTCCTCGACACACACACACACAGCCCTTGACCCTTATCCCTTCACACACACACACACCCTAAGTGGATCAGCCAGTTAAACACACACACACACCTCTTTCCCAACCCCCAAGTTTACACACACACACACCTGAAAGCAAGAATGAGCTCCTACACACACACACACCAGGTTGAACAGGACTACATCTACACACACACACACATTACAAATAATCTGGAGCCTAACACACACACACACATAATCCCTTAAATTCAGGGAAACACACACACACACAATAGGCTGCCTCAAAGTGCTTACACACACACACACAGCCTGAGGGCTGTTTTCTGGGACACACACACACACATTGTTTTTAAAGATTTTATTCACACACACACACACGAGAGACACAGTGAGAGAGGGAACACACACACACACAGTGGGAGAGGGAGAAGCAGGCACACACACACACACGGAGCCCGATGCGGGGCTCGATACACACACACACACATCATGACCTGAGCCGAAGGCAACACACACACACACGAGCCACCCAGGCGCCCCTGGGACACACACACACACAAATCTTTTTGAGATTTATCCAACACACACACACACAGACATAACTTTGATATTTGGCACACACACACACACTAGACTCTCTCTTTGCCCAGAGTGTTTATACTACATCCTCTGGGTTACTGTTTTCCCAACACACACACACACTGAGGGTTGCATGTGATCTCATACACACACACACACGAGAATAAATCAGGCTGCCATCACACACACACACACAATCTTAGTGCTTGGTACTCAGACACACACACACACTCCTTAAAGGGAACACATTGATACACACACACACACAATTGAGAGAAGTCTGAAAGCAAATACTTAACTAACCTTTTCAGTGCTATTTGTCTTTTTTTTGTTTTTTTAAGTAAGCTCTACGCCCAATGTGACACACACACACACAACCCCAAGATCAAGAGTCGCAACACACACACACACAGCTGAGCCAGCCAGGCACCCCACACACACACACACTTGAAGTGCTGCTTCTAAGTATACACACACACACACAATTATAGTTTCTTACAGGCTCACACACACACACACCTGGAAGGAACCACTGACCTGATACAAGCAGACTTAGGTTCCTGCTTGACCGTGTGTCACACACACACACACCCACCAACGGCTCCCTGGCTTTACACACACACACACAGAAGGCTCTGCCTGATGCCGAACACACACACACACCCAGGTCCCTCGTCTCCTGCCTACACACACACACACATGCTTTGGATTTCCTAAACCAACACACACACACACCTCTAGAAAATCAGTTGACCTCACACACACACACACTAAAAAGAAAAGTAAAACAATAACACACACACACACAACGTGAGGAAAAATAATTAGAACACACACACACACGACGTAGATGAGCTGCTAAATAACACACACACACACCTGCTTTTATCGGAATTTCATTACACACACACACACCATTTAGTGTGGCCCCCCAAAGACACACACACACACTTGACAAAGCAGCCAATTATTTTGGGATGAAGATTATACGGGTTCCACTGAACAAAATGATGGAGGTGGATGTTCGGGTGAGTTCCCCTGAAGGACACACACACACACTGGACCGTGAGGAGCAGGGATGACACACACACACACGTGTTTTCCAGTGTCGTGCAGAGAGGCTCCAAAGGCCTCGGACTCTAGGTGCGGGAGCACACACACACACACCAGCCGTGGTGATGGAGTACGGACACACACACACACAAATTCGTGAGCTCTGATAGCAACACACACACACACCCTGACTTGAGACTTTGCTGACACACACACACACACAGCAACATCGCTTTGTCCTCTCACACACACACACACAGACTGACTTGCCCCAGGACTCACACACACACACACATGAGCCCGCATCCATATCCTCACACACACACACACAACTGCATCTTTTCAGAACTAAACACACACACACACTAGCACTAGTGTTATTGCTGCCACACACACACACACATACACTGACAGTTGACAAAAAACACACACACACACCTGTGGTCCCAGCTTGATATTCACACACACACACACCACATTGCAGACGAATCACCACACACACACACACACGCAAATTCCATCCCCTCAGTAGACACACACACACACCATTTTCCTTTTTTCTCGGTTAGAATACATAGGGCTGCTCTCCCGACTGCTAGCTGATACACACACACACACGCGGTATTGTTACGCGTGGTCAACACACACACACACAGCGGTCCAGATCTTCCTGTCAACACACACACACACTTGGTGCCCCTCATCCTCCGGCACACACACACACACATTCTACTCTCTGCTTCTGAGGACACACACACACACTGCCGTATATGTGAGGTCATGCAGCATTTGTGTCTCTGTGCCTGGCTTACTACACTCAACACACACACACACGTTCATCCGTGCTGTCACAAGTACACACACACACACTTTGAAGACCTGATAGTAGTCCTTTTGTCATTATTTTTATGCCGTGCCTGTGTGGAGAACTCTCCAGTGTCTGGATGCTGTAAGAATTGCATCTACACACACACACACCCCAGGGAGGCTGTAGGAACTGACACACACACACACGTGCACGGGTGAGGAAACAGTCTGGGTGGAGTTAAATCGTTTGCCCCAGGTTTCCACGACACACACACACACTGGGACTCGCATAGGCTCATCTACACACACACACACTGCCGTTTTTCCTCCCACAGTGACACACACACACACGGCCGCAGACTGTCCCCCCCGCACACACACACACACCCTGTCTGTGCTGCTGCCGTGGACACACACACACACCTCCTGGGTTGGAGAGATGGAGACACACACACACACGAGCGCAGACCCTGAGCTGGGGACACACACACACACTGGCATTCTGACGTGGCTTCTCACACACACACACACTTTAAACCCCTAGGCAATGAGGAGAGCCATCTCCAGGAACACGGCCATGCTCGTCTGTACACACACACACACTCCTCATGGTATCATCGATCCTACACACACACACACCAAGGTACGTGGGAGAAATGGGACACACACACACACAGCTGAGATTTGAAAATAGAATACACACACACACACCTCGGCAAGGAGAAGCAAGCCTGAGTTTAGATTTGTGCACAAATTTCCTGAGGCCCATACACACACACACACCTCTGTTTGGAGCCTCAGAAAGACACACACACACACGTGGGAAGAAGACTGGATATTCACACACACACACACCATTTCGATTCAGCCGGGAAAAACACACACACACACGAGCCTGCCTACCAGAGGGTGAACACACACACACACACCCGCCTAGCGCCCACTCCTCACACACACACACACACTAAAGCAGGACTCTCCCCCTACACACACACACACGCTCGTTTCCTGCTTGATTTTAACACACACACACACCCCTGCGTATTTAAATAGAAAAACACACACACACACGGAATTATTTTGAAGCCTAAATACATTTAAAAGATGAGCTTTATTAGGAATGTGAAAAACACACACACACACAAAGCCTGAAAGATGCAGTATAACACACACACACACTTGCAGCACATCTTTCCACCTGACACACACACACACTTTGTTATATGGCTATAAATGAACACACACACACACCTTTGTTTTCTGGAACTAGCTGACACACACACACACAATACCTCTTCATGTAGATGCTACACACACACACACCCTCATCGTCTTTATGGAGAAAGCAGGATACCCACTGGAGCAACCATTTGATTTCCGGGTGAAAGGTGTGACCAGCATTTCGGCTGATACCCACAAGGTGAGACAGGGAAGGGACCAAATGTTAATCAAAGGAGGCACCTGATTATTTTGACTACTGTCAACAAAAACACACACACACACCATTAACTTCCACCCAAAATGTACACACACACACACCTCTTTGCTCTCACCCGCGTAGACACACACACACACAAAGTATAGTGCTAGAGGTGACACACACACACACACAGGGACCTATTTGTGGCATGTGACACACACACACACTGCATCCACTGACTGTATGTAGCTGGGACATGCCAGGACAGGGGCCCCTAGAAAAATGACACACACACACACGAGATTCTCTGGGGTGGAGGGTACACACACACACACTGGTGGGATTCCTGGGAGGAGGACACACACACACACGCTCCCACGCCACGGGCCTGCTGCCCCACATGACAGGAGCCAGCTAAAGGAAGAGTCCACACACACACACACAGAACTGCGTGCTCAGGAATGTACACACACACACACCCTGGTGGCCGGGATGGCTTTGACACACACACACACTGTGGGAGAAGCAGCAGCCTCAACACACACACACACGTGCTGAAGACACTCGCAGAGCTTGTTTTCATCTCAAGCATAGTGGAGACCTGTTTTTCAGACTCTTACGTGATGCCCGCGAATCTTCCATCGGGATCTGATTTGGTTTCGCCTCACACCCAGGCGACCCACACACACACACACTTACCGTCTCTCCCGGTGTGGGACACACACACACACTGGCTCCATGTTCGCAGCAGCGACACACACACACACGGGCACATTTCTATAAGGAAACACACACACACACACGTTTTTAGGCTGGATTCAGTAGACACACACACACACACACCGTGATGGTCTTAAAAAAACACACACACACACGATGGGAAGGGAGTCAGCTTGTACACACACACACACCAGGTGACGTGACTTCTACCCTACACACACACACACAGTGGAAATTTATCTTTGCTTCACACACACACACACGCCCTGGAGTGCGGTTTACATAGAGAAGCCACGTGCTGGGTGAGGGGGCCCAGACGCCACACACACACACACGCATTTCAGCCCTGTCCCCGCAACACACACACACACTAACGTTCTGAGAGTGGGTTGTACACACACACACACCGCGGTGGGAAACGGGCACGTGAAGGAGAAGTGTGCTCGGGGAGCTTGCGGGGCGGGCCTGCCCGGGAGCTGGGTGCTCACCTGTGCGCTTCTCACACACACACACACACGCCCCCAAAGGCTCCTCCGTACACACACACACACACAAGAAGTACAGGAGCCATCAACACACACACACACCAGACTGGCAGGGCGGCATCTAACACACACACACACTCGCGGGCTCCCGGCCCGGAGGACACACACACACACGTTGGGCTGCCCTGATGCACTTACACACACACACACATGTTGAGGCCACCAAACAGATACACACACACACACGCTTCCTCAAGTCAGAGTATGTACACACACACACACGTCCGCCTCGTCTCTTGCTTTGACACACACACACACCGAGGCATCTGCCTGGCCAAGCACACACACACACACGCCCATTCAGCATCCCCTAGCGACACACACACACACACAGCAGCTTAGGAGTGTGGCGACACACACACACACGAAACTCCCTGGCTCTGCTGGGACACACACACACACACCCAGGCTTCACCTGTGGGCCACACACACACACACCTTTGTCTCAAAGCGTGTCTTCACACACACACACACTTACCAAGTGCCCACACACTGTACACACACACACACTACACCGCGGTTCTCACACTTGACACACACACACACTCATCGGGAGGACCTGTCACAAACACACACACACACCCCCACTCCTAGGATTCTCACTACACACACACACACTGGGAGTCTGAGGACTTGCGTTTCTGGGAAGCCGCCGGGGGATACTGAGGCTGTGGGTCTAGGGCTCACACTCAGGGAGTCGCTGGTGGAACAGTGTCGGAGATGAGGCAGAGGGAACGGGGGAAGGGCGACACACACACACACGGGTGAGATGAGGCTAGAAGGAGGCTGCACGTTTGTCTGACCCACCTGTTCGTGTGCCACACACACACACACGTGGCTCACCCGCACTGGGGAGACACACACACACACTGGAGGGTGAGTGAAAGCGGCCACACACACACACACATTCGAAAAAGGCCTGCACATAACACACACACACACCCATCTGTTGTGAACTGCTCTAACACACACACACACAGGGATTATGTATATGATTTTTACACACACACACACGGAGGGGTTATTTTGCCAGGATACACACACACACACTCTTTTATGCCTCAGATGACCCACACACACACACACGTTTGGGAGTTGGGCAGACAGGGTAGGAGCCAGTGGTTCTGACTCATCGGAGCTCAGTACACACACACACACTGAGTATTTGTAAGGTTTGGGAACACACACACACACTCTTGCCACCTGGTACTAGAAGACACACACACACACGCCCTAAAAGATTAGATGGTGTCATGGGGGAGACATTTGCATGATGAAAGAGATGATGACACACACACACACTGTGACTGAAATTTCCTTTCTCACACACACACACACTGTTTTAAGACTGGAAAATATCAAAGGCATCTTTGTTTTTGGGAATCCCCAGTTGTCAACACACACACACACCTCCCGAGATTTTGACATCTACACACACACACACACGATGACTGCTAAGGGCTGGAACACACACACACACACGTTCCCACCCAGGTAAGCCCGAGGAGCCTCCTGCCCTCACTGCACTCTGTGACTTCGCACACACACACACACCAGGGTGCCCTGAAGCCTAGAGACACACACACACACCAGCGCTTCAGGATGGACGGAGACACACACACACACTATCTCACCACCTGGCATTACTCAGTATCAAGGACAAGACGATGAGCTTTACAAGAGAACACACACACACACCGAGCCCCTCCGCCGCTGCCCCACACACACACACACGCTGTGTACTCCCCGCCCCATCACACACACACACACCAGATTGCTCTTGCCGACGGACCTGTGACCTGAGTCATACTTAGCTCAGAACCCTCCACAGGGCCTCTCATCGTTCAGGCCTGTTGCCCTGTCCTGTAATATGCTTCTGTCATTTCATGTCCCACGATGCACACACACACACACCACACCCCGATGGCAGAGGTCCACACACACACACACGCACCCCGATCCTTTCACTTCCTGGTGCTGTTGCCAGTCCCACCTGGACTCAGCTTCTACACACACACACACCCTCTGTACCTCAGTCTCCCTTACACACACACACACGTTTCTTCTGTGCCTTGAAGTCACACACACACACACTGGCCCTGTGCCCATGAGGGTTACACACACACACACAGAGCATCCCTTTGGTGGCCCCACACACACACACACATCATTTGACAGTTTTTGAGGGACACACACACACACAACAGGCAGCCGTCCTCCCTTCACACACACACACACTCACGCGGAGGCATGAAACCCTACACACACACACACCTTGACAGCCATGTATTTGAGAACACACACACACACGACTGGGAACACTTGTCACAAAACACACACACACACGAGCGATAAATTCCAGTATGTGACACACACACACACTAGAACTTTGTTTTCTTTTCCCACACACACACACACCCTGTCTCTCTCTTCTCCCACAACACACACACACACATCACGCTAGTACACACCCGGAACACACACACACACCAGTTCCTAAAGGACATCCGGGACACACACACACACATCATGAAGAATCCTAAAGCAAACACACACACACACGTAGGGACACTTGGGATTTTTTACACACACACACACTTCAGGTGTTGTGGGAGGTTTGACACACACACACACCCTCGAGTCTGGTCCTGCCTCTACACACACACACACAACCTTATTCCTTGGAGCTGATACACACACACACACCCATTCCCAGGCTCTTTGGTGTCAAGTGAGGTGCGCTGTATATAAAGCACCTTGTAAAACACACACACACACACAAAGGCACGTGGTGGTCATGACACACACACACACAAATGTTGACATAGGAAAGACAACACACACACACACTCTGGAATTTTCTATGGCAAATACACACACACACACTCTTTGGGCTGAAAGGCAGACCGGCAAGTACCTGTGAAGAGCTGTCTGGGGTGGGCATACACACACACACACGAGCAGACACGGAAGGCGGAGACGGGGGGATCGGAGCCACAGCTTCATCTCCACCCCCACACACACACACACCGCCCCTGTACGCCTCATTGCCACACACACACACACACTGGATTTGTAGGGTGCGATCACACACACACACACGACGACCGTCGACAGGAACCTGACACACACACACACCTCAGTCTTCTTGGACAGCCTTACACACACACACACTGTAACTCAGAGCAGCCAGATGACACACACACACACACCCCGCTGAGCCTGGACCCTCACACACACACACACGCACCTGGCCTTCAGAGGGTTCTCGGGGAGTGGAACAGGCCACGCACAGTTTCACCATACACACACACACACTGGAGCACGACGAGACAGACCAACACACACACACACCCTCAGGATTCTTGTTCCTTCTACACACACACACACGTGGTCTTTAATGTGGAGACCCACACACACACACACACCTAATTATTTTGCCCTTGTTCTCAAATGTTACCCTAGGGATTGTTTTAGCCATTTTACACACACACACACTAGCTTTCAACTTCACTTAATCACACACACACACACCTGACCGGTCCTGAGTCCTTACACACACACACACACGTTTATGTGATAAAGAAGGTTTACACACACACACACGGTGGATTGGCGAGGCAGATTGACACACACACACACCCCCAGGTGGGAGTTAGGTACCACACACACACACACCCTTCTCAGCCTCCTCTTTGAGACACACACACACACCACAGAGTCATGTAGTTCAGCTACACACACACACACAGGACACAGATGGACAGGCCGCACACACACACACACGGGATTAGAATGGCTGAGCATGACACACACACACACGAAGGCAGGCTTTGGAGTGGCCACACACACACACACCTTGATACTTGGTGGCCACCATACACACACACACACGTTTGAAATCGTGCTCCCATTGGTTTGTTGTCGTTCCCCTGGATTAGGAAGAGAACGCACACACACACACACCTAGGCCTTTCTGGCCCTGGTGACACACACACACACCGGCAGTGTTGGGAGCACAGCTACACACACACACACGCTGCTGGGGATCGGAAACCAGACACACACACACACTTCTCTGAGGGTCACATTGGAATATATGTCCCTAGAGCTGGTGGTGGTCCTCCCCTCACCCACTGTTGTAAGCCATCTCGTCTGAGAATGTTTGCTTGAAGGAACAGCTCAGAGCACCTTCACAAGTTGCACACACACACACACGGTGGGTGCAGGGAGCACGTGAACACACACACACACCAAGGAAACTTCTCCCCGTTCGACACACACACACACCTCTTTCCGTCTGTTCAGCTCCACACACACACACACCAGTTTAGCCTCAGGTACTGGACACTTCTCAGCCCCGGCTAACTTTGGACTAGGAAAGACACACACACACACTCAGCTGGGGCCTGGGGCCTGGACACACACACACACACTAGTTGCTCAGGGTGGTGCAGGGACAGGACCAAACCCTGCGCCCACTCCCCACCCTACACACACACACACAGGGCCCTGATCTAGGTGGAGCACACACACACACACGAAGATGACATACAGTGTGCCTACACACACACACACAGAGCGGTGGGGGGCTACTCCTGACCCAGGCCCTCGGGGAAATGGGTCAGTCTTTGAGACACACACACACACGGGGAGGACTTCAAGGGTAAGTCAGGAGAAAATAGCCTCTGTTCCAATCCCCTTCTCAACACACACACACACATTCAGCCTCTTCAGGCTGCTGACACACACACACACTCACTGGGAATGCTGGCCGGGAACACACACACACACAGACTGTCCCCCGGGCTCCGTGACACACACACACACAGTGGCTTCTGGCACTGTACTTACACACACACACACGTGACGAGCTGGCCGTGTCATTACACACACACACACTGTGTGTTCCTCTCGTGCGTTTACACACACACACACGTGCGTGCGTGCGTGCATGTTAACACACACACACACGATCCTCTGGACACGGGAGCCGAGTTCCTTCCCGTCGCTGAACTGGAGGCACCTCCCGAGAGAGTTGCTGTGGCCGGAGCTGTGCGCCAGGGCTCCTGGGTCTCCGGCGCGTTCATGGTGTTGAAGGAAGACACACACACACACACCACCCCACCGGCACCACTGTGGTTTGTCATCTGTGAAAATGGAGAAGCCTGTGCCCACACACACACACACTTGCTTCCAGCATCTGCGGGCTACACACACACACACCCGGGGGCAGCGGTGTTTTTCAACACACACACACACAGCCACTTTATAGCACAAGCCTACACACACACACACCTTGTGGGCTTTCCAGTCTATGACACACACACACACTAGGAACACCTAGTCTGGCAGAACACACACACACACCTTCAGATGTCATGTTGCTAGCACACACACACACACCCTCTGCAGAAACTGTAGCGTCTGGTTTCTACACAGAGTAAGCAGCCGCGTGACCCTAACACACACACACACTTAATATTACCGGTTTTATACTACACACACACACACTGCCTCTTTTAAATCTTTTCTGACACACACACACACCTTCCCAGCTCAGTGCTCCCTTACACACACACACACTAATATCTTAAAAAGCAATTCAACACACACACACACGAAATCTTAACCGACGTGGCTGACACACACACACACTTTCTGTAGGGGCGGCCGGAGAACACACACACACACGTGGCCGCTGGAGAACTGGCTGACACACACACACACCCCCCTGGTGGTGAAATGGTTGACACACACACACACGTTTCAGGGCGCTAGCCGTCTGTGGGCGAGAGCACCTCCACAGGAGGCTTCACCAGGAACACACACACACACTGCTTTAAGGGGGTCTGGAACTACACACACACACACCCCAGGGCCCAGGCCCAGCTTGACACACACACACACTTCACCATCCACTTCTGCCTATACACACACACACACTTGAGCCCTCCAGGGTGGGCTCCAGCCAGCTGGGCACTGGCTTCCATGGTTTGGGAGTACACACACACACACAGAATACCTCTGCACATGTAACACACACACACACACTTCCATTACAAGTAAGAAGTGAACACACACACACACGGCCTGGAGCCTGTCACACAGGACACACACACACACAACCCGTTTGGACTTTGCCAGAACACACACACACACTGCCGTCTTTGCTAGTTTTCTGCTGAATGACTTGGTTTCCTGAGCACCTACTTGCTTTACACACACACACACAGGATGAGGCCAGGATATGCTTACACACACACACACGCCCCTTCCGTCCAAGAGTTGGACACACACACACACCACCTGCTACTTAACCACGGTGACACACACACACACCTCTGAGGGTTCTTGGTAGCAAACACACACACACACCCAGACCCAGCAGTGGAGAAGTACACACACACACACGACTTGACAGACATCAACTACAACACACACACACACAAGTCAGCGTTTGCGAGCCTTTACACACACACACACCCTAATTGCCATCCTTTCTCTTACACACACACACACATAATCTGTCCTTAACATCTTCACACACACACACACTTATTTGCACGAATTGTAGAATACACACACACACACGAAAAAGTATCACTTATGTTTTACACACACACACACCTTTCATAGAACTGTAGCGTCCACACACACACACACTTTCAACCCCTGATCCATGGGTAAGCAGAGGCAGGATGGTGACATGACACGTGCTCCAACACACACACACACGTGGCTTCTGTCCCCCAATCCAACACACACACACACAAGCACACTTAGGAAAAGGGAAACACACACACACACAGATGGGGGACCACCATCAGAAACACACACACACACATCATTAAGTTTTCTGAGAACCACACACACACACACGTATTGTTAAGTCTCAGATCCTACACACACACACACCAACAATATGCTTATTTCTCGGACACACACACACACCTCTTTTCTGGCCCTTGTAGGAACACACACACACACGTGACTGGGTTGTGACATTGCTAAATGTCTGCTCCAAGGAACCCTGGCATTTGCAAGTACACACACACACACGGCAGCTTCAGGCTAGGGGATCACACACACACACACATCAGGAGAAGGGCTTCCCACAACACACACACACACCATATGCAGACTGCCATCCACGACACACACACACACGAGAGAGGAGACTGTGCTCTGTGCCCACCCCCCCACAACTTCTCCCAGTCGCAGCACAACACACACACACACCTATCCTAGAGTTACTAGGTTGACACACACACACACAGGAATCCACTCCATAACTGCTACACACACACACACCCTGTCACCTCATAAGCTAGGATTTTTGTCCTCTCCCTTACACAGTAAAAGCAGGCAAACACACACACACACGACTAAGTCTCTAAGAAACCACACACACACACACACATTAGAAATTTCCCCCTGGGATACACACACACACACAGAACATAAGACAGCCACAGACACACACACACACACTAGATCCCACCATGCATAAGTAACACACACACACACACCTTTTCTTTTAGTCATGGTAACACACACACACACCCTGCCTCAAGAATCCCATTCAGGTCTTCGAGGCACAGGTCAGAGAAGCATCCAGACTACACACACACACACACTTCATGTTCCCTTAGCTCATACACACACACACACTCTAGCACTGACTTCATTCATCACACACACACACACTTCCTGCTTCCTGCTTAATTCCCCTACATGAAGACAGGGTGGTCTGGTCCCACTCCGCACACACACACACACCCTTGAACAGTGCCTCTCACAGACACACACACACACATGCCTGTAGACTCCAATTTGGACTGACCTGTGGAAAGGAAGGTTCTAGAGCCTGAGAACACACACACACACAGTTTTATTTGAGGCATAAAAGACACACACACACACTCACATACAATGGGGTTGACTTACACACACACACACCTAAGACAAGACTTGGTGCATCACACACACACACACTTGGGAAATGAATTAGAAAGGGACACACACACACACTGGCAAGAAGACCATTACTGTTACACACACACACACCAGAAAGGGAAGATCGTACGCAACACACACACACACAACAGAGCGTCAAGGTTGAAGAACACACACACACACAAAGGGCGGCGGTGATGTGGGCATCTCCTTCCATAGCAAGGACTCCCCCTAGCCGGAGACACACACACACACTTGGCC